CAATACCGTACGCCAGTCGACTCCTCAGACTGCGGCGAGTTGGATTAGCTAATTTTTGGAGCTTTAAAATCTATAGTCTTTGCTAAAATAATGAATAATTCTGAAAGCAGAATCACATAACGAAATTCGGACTTTTTAAATTTTAACACTAAAGAATGAAAAAACTTTTCTGCGGTTTTTCGGCTTGACGCATTTGCTCACAGTCCCACTGTACTGCTCGAATCATTCTCTGTCGAACGATGTAGAATACATCTATTTCAACCCTTTTTCTAGCAAAATCCTGCCAAAAATTCTCTATGGCAAAAACTGAAAATTGTCTCCCTCCTAACTCAGCCAGTATGAGCCTGGCAGTTGGGAAGTTTTTATAGGGTACTCGACAAAGACAGAGGAACAAAATGTACCATTCGAATTTTTTTAATGAACACTTTCATTTTTTTTATCGATTGTACCAGACAGTTACTTTTCTCTCATATACATGCGTATAAGCGAAAACAACTACGAGATTTTCGAAAAATGGGCAGATACCTTACAAAATTCTATAATGTGCATCGATATCGGTCTGTGGTCGAAATCGGAAAGGAACAACTGAAACACTTTAAAATTTATAAAATTGATCTAGATTCATTGACTAAAACTGGAATGGCTGGGACAGATGCTATAATTGATGCATGCTAAGGTTTACTTAAACATAAAAACTAAACTCGTCATCAACAAATAACAACAATGAATTAGTTCAATTAATTGGGGAAACACGAGTGGCACTCCAGGTTGAATCATCACTATTTATGGATGGTGTACCGATTGACTTAATTCCTGGAGTATTAGCTAAACCCAGGCCATTTTGTTGCTTTCACTTGTACAAATAAAGTCTTATATGTTTATAATTCACTATATCCAGGAAAGATAACAATAACTCAATGGCAAGCATTAGCTACATATCTTCATCCGTCAATTCATTTATACCCTACGCAACTACAATCTTCTGCTAGCAATAACTGTTTACTATTCGCAATAGTGATATTAGCTGAACTTCAATTAGATCAAGGATATTCGACAAGTATAACATTGGACGAAAATAAATTACGATCGCATACACTTTTGTGTGTAGAACAGAATGTAATAAAACCCTACCCTAAAACAACTAAAAATTGTGTTAGAAAGCCACGAAAGACGCGATTAATCAAAATACCAAAATAAACAGATTGTTTCTCTGTGTTGGTTAATAAACTATTACATCATTCGTCTGTTAGGAATTTCTTAAGGTATCTGTTCATTTTTCGAAAATTTCGTAGTTGTTTTCGCTTATACGCATGTATATATGTATACATTTTCTTATATGATTATGATTATTCAAGTGTGAATTAACTTTTTCTCGTATTAGCATGTTTTTCCAATTCTGTAGAATCATAAAAATGCTATTTTTCTAAGTCAAAAATGATTTAGAACAGAAATAAATTTCATATTTTGGGCGGAGACGGAAATTTAAGAAAATTTTGGTGGAATTTCTAGCGGCGAAAAAATGACTAAATAGCGGAGGCAGAAAATTACCGACAATCGACTAGTTGGTTAAAACCTCTTCTGCAATGCTTTGAGTAGAAGAAACACATTAAGTTTTTATTATTTTTACTATTGTATACAAGGAGAAGGTTCAGATATAAAATTAAAAAAAGTGTGTTTTACCTACGATCGTTCCGAGTTGTTATGTTGAATCCGAAGAATTACAAAAATTTATTTTACTGCGTTCTTCCCTCATCTATAGAGCAAAAATATGCGTAGAATTTCGCATTTTGATTGTGAAGAAAAGATTGCTAATTTCGTCTGACAAGTGAGTAGTGAGTGAATAAAGTTCTGATACTTTCAGGCAGGTGTACCCATAGATCATCTCAAATTAATTTCTAACATTGTCATTTTGCCATAATGTAAATAGCAAAATCTGAAAAGATGAGTATGGATGACCTTTTTCTTAAATAAAAACACTACATTTTATCCAAACATCACTTTTTATGTTTTCTGACTTTTCAAAAAAATTCATATTTTCTCAGCGCTTACAAAGGTCTTCAAAAGTATTTTCCGATAGAGAAAGGGGACAGTGACCTACACCAGTTTTACTACCAAAAATTTCTGTTCTCTATTTTAAGAGCGCCGGAGAATTTGATGACCAGAAAATAGTGTGGTGACTTTTTTCTCCATACCAGATGCGCCAGAGAAAACTTTGCACCTGGTTAAATTCATCAAAGTCTAAACATTATCAGAGACTGGAAATACATTCGCATGAGAATATAAAAAATATTGATTTTTTAGCAGTTTAGCGATTATCTCATGAATTGTCTTAGCTATTATACATGTCTATTGCAACAGACTTGATTTCTAAAATCTATTCGTAAGTTTTTATTGAAGTTGAATTGAATGTATTCCACAAGCACGTTTTAATACTATCTATAACTACTACTATTAATGCAATATCAATATTTTTTCTACTTTTTCATTATATCTGTCTCTGTATTTCTTTATCGTTTATTCTTACGGTCATTACTTCATCACGTTTCATCTAGAGTAAAGGTGAGTTATGTGTACATACACATACCATCAAAGAAAAACAAAAAGGTTTTGTATTACTAAAAGAGATATGTGTGTTATATCGAAATCACATGTGTTGGTTACGTTGTTTTATCAAGTATAATGACATTAAAAAACAAAGACAATCTATCTATCTATGGCATCAGCAATGCGAAAAATTCTCGTTTAAGAAGCTGCTGTTTCTCAAAATAGACTTTTAGACTAACGTAGTTTAACAAAGTGTCATAACTGAGGTCATTTGAATTCAGATTGATGGAGTATAAAATGTTGCACCTTTTGATTTAAAATAAGTTATTAAAAGTTGAACATTAATGCAAGATAATAAGTGAATAAAAATTCAAATTACGTCCAAAAATGGGCGAGTCTGAGACACGACACGAACTCGCGTCGACTGCGAATGAGTACAACGAATGCTTAAAACAGTAGAAGTGAGTTATATATATATATATGTTGTATTGAAGTTAGCATATTTATAGAAGTTATTATTTTGATAAACACACTTTATTGAACTTAAAACTTCGATAAGGTGGATTATCGAAGTTGTTTTGATTCAGCTAAACGGTAATTATTTGATTATTTGAATGATACCATTATCAAAACTTATAGTTAACGTTGGCTTTTTAGCTAAACAGCAGACAAACATTTGTCTAACCAAAATATCAAAAATATGCAAGTTATTTGAAAAAAAAATGAGAAAATATTTTCTTTTTTGTCCTTTTCTTATCTGTCATCCCATCCTACACGCAGGAAACGAAAACTTCAGCACGGTTGCGTTTGGGAATGGTGGAGAAGACGTGTTCGAACAAAACATATCATGAAAAAATAGAATTGTACTTGACTAAAACTATGGCTCATTGCTTAGTGGTATATCCGGAGGATAAAACCTGTGAGAAATACGTCGTAATGAGTAGAGTTGTTGATAATTCATTTCAGGTCTTATGAAATTCGAACTACACTCTGTGCAGATACCCTACTTTGTCTAGCATCCTTCTGTTCCCGTCATCGTATTATAGTTTTCATCAAATATTTGAAGTACCATGTATATGAACATTATTTACGCAAGATAATACAAAAAATAAATAAAAATCATTAAGAGAAATAGCGAAACCTCAAAGTATTACTTGTGGACAGGGAGTGTGAATGTGATTGTAAAAGGAGTTGTAAAACAAATATATGCAAATGTAAGTGAGCAAATATTTGTGTGATTCAATATGTCATCATCATTTTTTCAAATAACTTCCATATTTTTGATTTTCTGGTTGGACAAATGTTTGTCTGCTGTTTAGCTAAAAAGTCAACTTTAACTACCATTTAACTGAATCAGAACAACTTCGATAATCGTTTAAACAAAAAAAGAATAAACTCTCTACGACAAATCGCTATTAAAAATCTTGGGACACACTTCAGGTGTAACTCTTATATAGAGTTACGCCGTATGAAATACTCAATTTTAGGACTGCTAGGAAAATGCCTGTAACTTTTTGATGCAAGGTCATAAAGAGTTGTGGAAAGTCTTATTTTGATCAGAAACGTTTGCTCTACAAAGCTGTGTATTTAGAAAAATGTTAACTGCATAATTAACTGCATATCTCAATCAATCAATCAGTTTATTTCAACACGAATGTGTCTAGGATGTTACAAAAAAGAAAAACTTAAATAAATGTAACACCTATGTTAAGATCAGTAAAATAATTTTCATTAAGCAGCAAAACGTCATAGATCAGCGAAATTCAAAATATAAAAATGAATATATATATTCACTAAGAAAGGAAATTATCAGAGAACGTCAAAATAACAACAAGATAATGGAAAAAAATGTTCATCTTTCTGTTCTAATTCCAACGTACAAAGTACACGAGTAGCACAAAAAAGTAGAACTGTATAAATCTCGATTTTTATTTTTTTTCTCATTTTTCTTGTTTCTTCCGTGATTTTTGAATCAGTTCTGTTGCATATACTGTAAATAAACCTTCTAGTAGTGTGTGATCTTTATGCTTGTGATGCTCAATGAAATTATTTTGTTCATAGTAATTTTGAAATGAATGTCGATTATCGGGGCTTAACTTTATGTATGAATCCACCAGCATTACCACAAAATCGACTTTTTATACAGAGGGTTTCAAGGCCCAACTTAATATTTTTCGAGATCAGAATCGTTCAAAATGTTTATTTGGAAACCGTATTTGGAACATATGTCGTCAAATATTGCTAATATTGATTATATTTGATTATCATCTACATTCAAAATTTCTTTAATTTCGTCGTGCTGAGGATCATCGAGTAAACTTTCAAACGCGACGTTATCAAAATTCTTCGATATATCTTCAATTTTAACTTTTTTTCTGACATCCTTCTTGATCGATCGAACGGCATGTCGCATTAATTCACTAACATATGACTGGTATTTGTATGATGTATTTTCGAGTTGTAAACGTGAAATTAATAATTTTAAATCGCTAGCAATCGTTCGAAGTTTCATTTTATTACCTTTTGTTCAGAGGTGGGCAAGTTCAAGTCCGGACTTGAAGGTTCTTTTGATGGACTTGGACTTGGAAATGATCGGACTTGTCCACCTCTGCTTTCGTTATCCAAAGATCATCAATAACATCAGTTAAATTTTGAAACAAATTATTTACTATCATCATATTTATATCAAGTACTAGCCTCAGCACGTCTCTTATGTGAAGGAAGAAATGAAGTTAGAACGGCATTCGAAACATTACAAGTATACTATGGTGTTTATATAGATGGACTTCGACAAAACAAAACGGTGATTGAAAAAAATTTGGTACTGATGTGCGCAGGGGTGCCGATAAACTAGAAAATTTCTTATGATATATCGGCACTTTTTCGGCAGCGGTGCGCACCTCTGCCAAAGAAAAAGTATCAATCCGAACGCGTGTGCACCAGTGCCAAGCTATAGATATAAGAGTGAATTTATCTACGTTACTTTGAAATACAAAGTTATAGTAATTAGTAGTAGTTTTTCTCTAAATTTCTTTTCACAATTCACTGTCTCTCAAGCATACTTTTAGTACTCTAAGTGCTAACTAACTATTTTAATCATGAAAAGTGAGGAAGCTTATTCACCAAAAGTTCTACAGATTAACTGCAGATGCTGGTCTTTGTCCTCTTTTAGAGAATGAATAGAGCTGTTTTACATAGACTTACGACGATTGGATGACTTAACATGAAAAATGGAGTGCGGTACTTCTGCAGATTATGTATATCAGGCATGTATATCGCTGACTTCTTTTAGGCCTTGTCTACACTACAAAAGATAAAGGAGCTTTAAGCAATTCTATTGGCTGAAGTTAAAGAATGTTTTCGACATCAATCCTTTAACTGGTCAATAACAAAATGCATATCGACTCTGCATATGCAAATTGCATATACAGCTAAAATGTTTTCATTGGTGTGTTTTAGCTGTTTATGCAATTTGCATATGCAGAGCCGATATACATTTTATTATTGCCCCCTTTAACTTCTTCCTTCATGGCAAATTCAGTAAGCTACTGCAGCAGCTTAAAGTCAGTCATCAATCTGGTTATTTCGTAAAGCCGGAGCAATGGCTTCCACTTTTCGGTTTTATGGCTGAAGCCGGCTATAATCGTCAGCCACAGAAGGAGGTGCTGTTCGTTTGTTGTTTTGTAAACAAAAATGAACTGTAGATGATATAGTATAACTTATTAGACTCTTATTCTCTGGCTTACTTATCTGTTGAAAAATCCAACCCATTTCTGATAACAGTGCAGCCCATTCTTTCAGAGTAGGACAAGCTTACTCTCTGTAAAATTGCTGCTCTCTGCAAACAACAACAAAACTTCTCAATGAAAAAATGAACAGTCGTATCTATTAGGAGAATGAAGAAGGAAATAATAATTTAGGATAGCCGAGAAGAAAAATAATTAGAAAAATAATTTAGAATGGCCCAAAAATGGGCCGATAATTTAGGCGCCCAGTTAATTCATAATTAAATATCGTTGTATGTATCTTCTGCATCAACCGCACGTTCATCCTCATTTGCTTTGTGTTTCATCACTTTTTGCTATTTTTTTATCTTTCTGCAGTTGTTTCCTCGCTTTATCTAATGTTTTTCAAAGCCAATAATGTTATATCATCTAATTGAAAAGCTTGCTGCAATCCCTCTAGAACACAGATAGCGTTTCATAACATATAACTTGAATTAAAATGAATGAATAAAGGAGTGGATGGTGATCGACGTAATCGATATTCAGTATAACTATCAGGTGCTGTAATAGCAATGTCATCTCCCTAGCGAAACTTCTTGTAACCAAGTTCTTGACTTCTTGAATTGTTTCAGCAAGGTCTTAGTAAGAAAATATAAGAATACAAGAAATTTCAAGAAGTCAAGATCTTGTAATTTCTTGAATCGTCGTTTTGTTTTACACTCTTGTATAAATATAAGTGCGAATATTTTCGCACTTAGAATAACTTAGAATTTTTTTCCTTCTTGAACATAGTTATTTAAGGAGAACCTATGACTCTATATATGGTCGTATATCCAATAGCTGTGACTGTCATAAATAAAAAGAAAATGTACAGAAAATTTTTCACTCAAGATCTTGAATACAAGAATTTTCACTAGGACTGATGACATACGTGTGATTTGTGTACCGTTATTGTTCGACAATGAGGAAGAGTAAGATATATTTTCTATCGGAATAACTTCCTTATCGTACGGATATATCCCAGCTGTCGCCAAGCCACCACAACAGTATGCTGATCGTATAATTGTTTGAAAAAAAGAGGAAATATGGATTAATCAAAGTCTTCTCCCCTGCTTTTTGAATAGTATTCATTGACTAATTTACGCTATACAGTTTTGACTATTTTGAGTGTGTGTGTGTATATCGAAAGGTTGGCATACAGTTCTCGGATACGGATGTAATGCTGAAATAGGGACGCCATTGTCTAAAGTCAATTCTATTATTCGATAAGAAATGTGAGACCGATGATTGTCCCCTATTAACAGTAGTGGACGTGGAATACTCTGTTTGTTTTTTGGATAAATTAGTTTTCAAAACCAGTCAAAAAATATTGGCTCTTCCATCCACCCGATTCAGTTGTATTACACATTATACCAGATTAATTTGGCTGCAGACGTCACTTATCATACATTCGTTCACTTTTGAATGCAACGTACGGTAAAAGACAACTACAATAGAAAGAAACTGCTATTTGAGGTCATTTGAAACACAGTTAGTACATTTCCGACTCTTCATTACTGAAATACATAATAAAAAAGTCGTCTAGGATTTGACCGACCTACCATGGACAGTATAAAGGGTGTCTGAAGAGCGTTTCACAACGACTGATTTCACTCGGAGATTTATCAAAAAGCCGCTTTCACCGCAGTGAAAAATCCAAGGGGGAAATAGCGGACTCCTGGACTCCTATGGACTCCTGGACTCCTGGACTCCTATGGACTCCTGGACTCCTATGGACTCCTGGACTCCTATGGACTCCTGGACTCCTATGGACTCCTGGACTCCTATGGACTCCTGGCCTCCTATGGACTCCTGGACTCCTATGGACTCCTGGACTCCTATGGACTCCTGGCC